TACTAATCCATCTGATTGAGCATATCTTCCGCGGCCTCTTCCTCCGAATCTAGAACTTCAATTGGCTCTATGAGATGATTCGCCAGGATTGTACTCGCCAGGAGCATGCGGTGCTGCTCCGTCGTCAAGGGGCTCGTGGAGGAGGTTGCTGCAGAGGAGGTTGCTGCACTGCCTATCCCAGTCGTAGCATCCATCATCTCCACATCCTCTGCCCTCGTTGACTGAAGGCCTTCCAAAGAGCGGTCCGGGCGTTCGCCAAAAGCAAAGCGAAAAGCCCGACTCACCGATCCTGCATCCGCATCTACAGCCGCACCCAGTCCCATGGATGGCTCTGTGGGATTCTCGCCTGTGGAGCGTGGGCCACCAACTACGTGCGCAAACTGCTGTCGGGCCTGGCACTGTTCTGTATGTTCTCGTCCCTGGCTTCGAACACACAATGTACAACAGCGCACATGACCAACTCCCGCGTAACGTCCGCAGCCAGCTGCACATGGTGTAATCTGGGTCCTGCTCCTGGCCCGCTGCTGCCGCTCCTGAAAAAGCTGCCAATCCTCGTCGCACCTCTCTGTATGCCGTCCAAAGGAGCACAAAGAGCAGCAGTGCTTATGCTTGCAGCGAACATAGTGGCGCTCGCATCCTGGCCTCATGCACTGTCTGCTCTGCCTGTCTCGCCGCCATCGTCTCGAGCCAGCGGGAGCTCCCTCCGCAGCAGGCGGAGCTTCTGGTTCAAGCGAGCGACGTCGACTGGCCATGACCTGAGAAGGGGGGGGGGTGTCATCTCTAAGCAGATCATGTTTAGCAATGCTGTCGCGATGTCGCCGGCTTGGCAAGGCACTATTGCATGGGCACGAGCTCAATCTCAAGATTATTTTCGCGCCGGGGTCTAGGCAGGAGACTGCACGTGTGGTTCGAGCTCTAGCCTGCACCTGCGTGCCGGCTGGCGGCCGTTGTTCGCAGCAGACAGGGGCCGTTGTATATCGGCAGGCAAGGGAGAGGAAGGGTAACACCTACTGCAAATCCTAAGCCTAGGCCTGGCGCAGTCAGCACAGAGCAGCAAGTACACCCAGGGTCACCCTGACCTTGGCGGCTAAATACGGTGAAAATGCAGTCGCTGCTGCCCATTCTGGGCCGAGAGCGGCTGTGTGCCTGAACCCTCAGCAGCTTCGTCTTGCTCATGGCTAGGTGGAGGCACAACAAAGCCTGTCTCCGAAAGAAACTCTCGGTGCTCCGGGCTCATGAGGCGGTGCTGCCCGATGGTGTACGCCACAATGATGCAGCGATTGTCGCTCCATGGAATAGTGCCATGCATGCATTCGCGGGCGTTGAACAGTATCGCCTGGGCCTGGGTGTTATAGATAGTACCTTTGCACATCTCCCCATCGATCTGCATAGCATGCTTTCCCTGGCCATCCCCAATCCAGAGTCCACCACCGCTGTGATGAGTAAGACCCAGCAATAGGCTGTTGCCCGGAGCGTTGGCCCTATCACAGTGCGGCATGGTCATGTCGTCGAGGTGGATGCTGAGGGTGGTCCACGTGTGCGTATGCAGAATCTTGAGGATGGCCGTGTTGAGCAATCTGGCAGCTGCGCAATGCCCACGACTCGACTTAGTCAGGCCCACCAGCCCGCCTTTGCTATACAGGCCAAGCCTAAAGGAAAGGCCACATGCGTGCGGCCTGGCATCCTCCTCAAAGTCCAGGCTCCGGGCGACCTCACGGATGGCTGTCCACAGCGATCCTGAGCCTTCCTGAAGAAACTGCACCGCCAAGGCCTCTGCTTCCGAGATCGGCTGTGTCACACCATAGTGCGGCGGAGGGAATGCGACGAGGCTCTCCCCGTCCAGTGTTCTCGCCAGGCGATCAGCAAACACCACGTATTGCAGCAGGTCTTCCTCAGTAAGGACCTCCCGGGCTTCCTGAAGAATTTCATTGCGCGTGAGAAAAGACAAGGCCGGGCGGAGCGTTTTCGAAAGCCCCACCAAACTGCGCAAGTGAAGCAGAAGCATAAATTCTTCTTCCGCAACCACACTCATGTGCCTTGGCAAGGCAAGGACCCTTGTCATGGCGGCCAAGGTGGCGCCGACCTAGGCACCTAACGAATGCACCTACCCGCAGCGCATTCGAGCAAAGCACGCTGCGACACACGGTGGCTCGTCATTGGCGCAAAAGTGGAAAAGGCAGGCCGAATGCAGACTCGGGTGCCGGCAGGTCTGCTCACCAAGGCTGCGCTCCCTACGCGCAGCAAGCAGGGGACGACCCAGTCCCCGCTTCAGGTTGGAAGCTCATGCTTCGGATGAGGTGAGAGGAAGCTTCTCAGCTGGATGTGTAACCAAAGTAAAGTGACGCAATGGAACTTGCAAAAAGACATACTCAAAACTGTAATGCAACGCAAAGGCCATCTGTTTTGTGGGCTCCTGATATCGCTTCGGCATCAGGTGATGGCTCTGATGTGGGCAGGGTGGTTGTTATTGTGGGCCCACCCTGCAAGGCCCTTGTGCGTGCTATGGTGTGCGCATGAGACCTAGAAGGTAGCAGTTGCTATCAACTAGATCGAGATCCACAGCTCGCGCCTTGCGTGGGGCTTTGTTATCATCACAGACAAAATAGTCCCAACCAGCAGCTTTAGGGAGTCCTAGCAAGGCGAGATAGTGGCCACTAGTAACGGTTTCCCCTAAGTGATAAACCAGTGCTACCACAGTGAAGGTCTCATGACGCAAACTGGTGCAGGAGTGCTCGGCAAAAATGGGAACGGCCACGGAGTCGCCTGGTCGTACGCGCAGCTTATCACGATTCTTGGCATTGTGACTGGCATATCGCCCTAGCTGCAGGAATACTAGACCATGATGTTGGGCTATGGCATGCACGGCAAACTGACTACTCCAGGCATCCAGAAGCTCTTGCAAGTTGGCGCCTCGCATATGAAGCAGGATCGCCTGATGCAGAGTACCTGTATCATGCACCACAGCCGGATT